TAATTCCAGGAAATATAAGAAAAACAGTTTAAAGATCCAACACCTTAAAAAAAAAAAGGGGGGGGGAATTTACGTATTCTTTAAGTAGAGTGGAAAAGGCAGTTTTGTGCTCTACATTGTTTTCACAAATCTTAGTTTTCTATTTCGCTATCCCTTTTTTCTTCTCCAAAGAAAGCATCATTTCTCACTAGCAGAGCTGGTCAGAGAAGCTATGATGGAACCATATTCCATTGATATAAAAATGCTTTGCAAAATTGGGTCAGTTTTACTAGATTTTCATTTCAGAAAAAAATAGGGAAGAAAAAGTTCCGATAATGTCAAAACATCCCATTTCAATAGTTTTGGAATTAAATGTTTTGACTTTTTTGTTTTGAAAGGACTTTTCATTTCAATGTTTAAAGATTTGTATTGTATAATACAAAATAAGTCAAAATTGAAGTTTCATTTTTGTCTAAACAAAATGTTTTGATCCGCAACAAATATTTTTTTTCAATTTTCCTTCAAAACATTTCAGTTTTTGTTCCTATTCTGACCAAAACCAGATTTTGAAATCTCAAAATCTTTCACAAAATGGAACTTCCATCCTCTACACAGCTCTACTCATTAGAGTGTTGGAGTAGGGGCACTGGTTTGAAAACTGACTGCAAAATTCCATGTGTGTGGGATATTTTAAGGAACAGAAGTTAGCTAAATAATATGATAGTCTGAACTGTTATGTGGAAGCAAGTGAATTCACTGGGTAAAAAAGTTCAAATTTTGATGGAGGAAGTGAATGCTGCGGACCTAAGTTTGTAACTGCTTTGCTGAAAGATTGCACTACTTTTATACACCTATTGGGCCTAATCCTGCAACCTTTGGCCATGTGAACAGTCTTTATGCACAAAAGTTGGCTCCATTCATTGCAGTGGGATTAGTTGTAGACACAGATTCAAGTCCCTGCTCCACTTAATTTATAGTGATTTGGAATGAAAAAACTCTGCTCTGAATCAGGCAGAACAGGGATACACATCACAAGATAGTGCCTTAGCCACCACACTTTGCAGTCTTTCTTTCTTTCCTGTTCCACCGCAGAGAGTCCTTGACCCCAAAAAAACCTTCAGCCACAGTTCTGTTTTTGTAACAAACCCAAATTTTGAAAGTTTTTTCAAAACAGAATTGTTGTTCTCTGGACAGCTCTAGTTGATAAACAGGAAAAAAAATCTGTAATGATGCAGTCCATATGCTTTATGGAAATATGCTTATGAATATGACATAACTGGAATATGCTTTACGCTAAATACCCCTTCTATAATGTCATTAGAACGCTTGTAATCTACTAAGTGTGTTCATCATATTTGTTTGCATGTATTACTTCTATATCTGGAGTTAGGAGAATAAGATATAAACTTGTATCACTGATGTAAACATATGAATTGGAGGCCATTAAGGGTGCTCCAGAAACAACCAGTTGTAAATGGCCTTATTTACTTAAAAGCTTTCCTGCATACGTGTGGGCCAGCCCATGGGCAATGGAGACTAGAGGTCTTACAGTGACATGTGACCATGTCACCTGACGATTAAATCCATCTTAAATCTGGTACTTTTCCATTTAGAAGGAAGAGTGGGGACCCAGGGAGACAAAAGATTCCTGCTTTGTGCCAAAGCTATAAAAGGGGATGGAGCAGGACAAAGGAGGCTGCCAGTAATGAGAAAACTCCTGCTTACCACCTGAGATGTCTGCTGGAACTAACAAGGATTGTACCAGGGAAAGGATTGGGCCCTGACTAGGAAGGAGTCTAGTCTGTGAAAGAAGCTTATTGGAAAATCTCTAAGGGTGAGATATTACCTGTAATCAGTTTCTTAATGTATTAGGCTTAGACTTGTGTGTGTTTGCTTTATTGTGCTTGGTGACTTACTTTGTTCTGTCTGTTATTACTTGAAACCACTTCAATCCTACTTTTTATACTTAATAAAATCACTTCTGTTTATCAGTAAATCCAGAGTAAGTGATTAATACCTGGGGGAGCAAACAGCTGTATATATCTCTATCAGTGTTACAGAGGGTGCACAATTTATGAATTTACCCTGTATAAGCTTAATACAGAGTAAAACGGATTTATTTGGGGTTCAGGCTCCCAGAAAGGCTAAACACTGGGCGCTGGAAAAGTCCCTGTTAACTGAGAAGCCCCTGGGCTGAATGAATCTGTTTCAGTGAACTGCAGAGAGGCGTGGCCCAACCTCTGGGTCTGTGCTGGAGCTGACTGGAGTGTCTAACTCAGCAAGACAGGAGTGGAGGGGTGCTTGTTCTGGCAGGAGGGTTGTGCTCAGTGGTATCCCAGCTCATCGAGTGACAGTATCAAGGGGAGTCTCTGTGACTGAACCCGTCAGACCATCACATTGCCTATATGCCTTCTTTGAGCTTTACAACACTTAAAGTGCAGTTCTAGGCTGAAAAATGGCATTGTGGGCCTCTATTTATAGTTTTAGTGATATCTGTATCAAATGTGCTCAATTCATAGGTAAAAGTGAAGGGTTTCTCCTGGAAACTGAGAGTCAAGCTTGGGTTCTTTTCATCTTACATATTGTTACAAATAAAGGTCTTGCAGGCTACATTAGGTACACAGTGACACCTGTGCAATTTCATTGTCTTCAGTGGTGCCTCTGCAGCCCCCATTGCCTTCAGTGCTTTTGCAAAGGTGTAACCTATTATAATTATAAACAATTGGGTTGATATTCAGGATGGATTGGAATTCTCCACTCATTCAATTTCAGCTGAGTTGGCTCAGCGCGGCTAACAAAAATAAAAAGCAACAGAAAGTTATTTCTGTCACTAATAAGCAAATCTGTCTCAATGCACATGGTGCGGGGGGGGGAGAGGGGAATCTACTTAAGAAGAAGTTGCCATTTTTATGTACCTGCTTTTCAGGGTAACAGTGCATTTCAAATTTTCTTGTTTCTATATGTAAGCAGAATATATTATTCTTCTGACATGTTAGCCATTTGGTGCCTTCTATATAGCCTTGGTTTCACTTTTAAAAGGTGTGGCCCTGGAATGTCTAAACATGTGGCAGTAGGGCCATATATTTCTAACATTTCATATTTCTAAATTTTGATTAAAAAATCCATTTTCCCTTCATTTTTCATCTAGCTATAGGGCTGGTTGAAATTTTAATGATAAATTTCAATAGTTTCAATTTTTAAGTAATTTTTTTTTAATCTTGCGTGTTCCCTGTTTCTTCTACCAGCTTTATGTGGCACTGTGAGGGTTGAACTATGTGCCAATGAATTATGACTTTCAGTGAGATTTAGACTCATAAATACCTCACTGTTGAAAATGGGATTTAGGCTCCTAAATCATATAGATGCTTTAGAAAATTTTGCCCATAGTTCCTTAGTCTCAGAACATTGTACTAGCATTAATTAACTAATCCTCATACAATATCACTGTGAGGCAAGGAAGGATTAACCCCATTTTACAGATGGAGACTGAGAGGTTACCAAAGGCCTCCGAGCATGAATCTCTGATGTAACTGTAAGGGAGGGTACATGAAGTAGTAAATAACTACATTTCCTTGGGTATAAATGATCTGTTTTTCCCCTAAGATTTACTCCAGTGCAAAGCTGCTCTTTCAGGACATTAATGTATGTGTATATCAACAGCATATTACTATATTATTGTGACTATCAAGAAAGAATAAATTTAATTATAGGGTAAATGTGATGCTGCTGTTCCCAGACTCCAGTTCTGTAAAGTGTTCTGCACAGGTGAATGATTCTGAAGTCTGTGCAACTCCTGCTGAAATAAGTGAAAGCTTCAGGTGTAACTCCCTGCAGGATCAGGATCAGGCCTAAGGCTGGAATCATAGAATGTCAGGGTTGGAAGGGACCTCAGGAGGTCATCTAGTCCAACTCCCTGCTCAAAGCAGGACCAATCCCCAGACAGATTTTTACCCTAGTTCCCTAAATGGCCCCCTCCATGACTGAACTCACAACCCTGGGTTTAGTAGGCCAATGCTCAAACCACTAAGCTATCCCTCTGGATCAAGCATTTCTGTAGTTCACAAGGACTCCCATACTTACCAGAACAGCAATCCAAAATGACCAGAGCAGCATGTTCTCTGCAAACCCCCATAGTCCTACACCCTGTATGCTCTTACCAGTCTCCCTAGCTGGGTCCTAGGTCACTTTATTTACACTTGATCACTTTTGTGCCAATACTTCATGGGAGACAAACTCACTGTCATTCCACATGGCGGTTTTTTCTCCTTTATTCTTAAAATTAAAATAAAACCAAGTTAAAATGGAATATGGCTATTATCTAATTGTTTTCCTTCCTCACAGATTTTGTTGTGAAAATTTTGTGGAGCGAAAGGGGCTGAAGTAAATTGCATTATATCAGGGCTGCAATATCCCAGAGAGCTAGGAATATCCCAGGTTTTGAGACCTGATCTAGTGTGCCTTTCAATATTACCCAAACAGGTGTTTCTCCCAGTGTTTCTAGAAAGCTGCAGCCTCTGTCCACTTGAGCCAGTAAAACTGAAACAGGCTGTGTGTGTGTGTGTGTGTGTGTGTATACACACCTTAAAAACCACCCTGAACCAGACCTGGGACTTGTTGCCACGCTGCCCTTCCCAGGCCCCTAGCCTGAGTCTTCCTCTTCCCCCACAGCTGCTCACACCCTGTGCATACCTCCCTAACACCGTAACCATCCTCTGCTGCTCCCTGCCCCTGCTGGTGCCTCAGTTGTCCCCTGTTTTCACACTGGCAGTTTAGTCGCCCTAGCTCTGTTTGACACTGCAAAGTTGAGAAAGAAAAGGTGGGTGAGATAACCCCTTTTATTGGACCAACTTCCGTTGGCGAGAGAGACAAGCTTTGGAGCCACAGGGAGCTGAGTGATGCACAGCTGGGGGAGGTGAGAGATGTATTCCCTGCCTGCAGCTGCTGCATGCTCAGAGCCAAAGGGCAGAGTTTGGGAGAGGGGAGATTTTCCAGGTTTGTTTCCTGCCCCCCAAAATCAATCAGTGCCTGCCTGCCTCCCTCCCCAGGGCCCAGCCACAACTGGGTCGGTGCTGTGTGCCCCCCGTCCCTGAGCTCAGGCTAGCAGGGCCTGCTTGGAGGCTGGGGATGGGGTGGCACATGAATTCCCTGTTGCTATGGGAACTCACGCAGTCATCCGCAGACTGGTCTGGGAGGCAGGAGAAGGAGAAGCTGGTCATGTGGTGAAGCAAGATGGCTCCCGGAGCCTGAAGGCTGCAGTGTGAGTGAGTGGGTGGGAGGGCGGAGAGTGAGTACGGGCTGGCACTGTCTATCATAGCCATGCATTCATCACTGAGGCAACAGCTGCTGCTGCTGCTCGCTGCCCCTTTCTCTGCGCTGCACTCCTGGCTTCTGAGCCAGGGAGAACTAGCTCAGCAGCCCCCCTTGGGTTGTAACTCCCCACTGTCTCCTGTGCGCATCGCAGCCGCAAGTGGCTTTCCCTGCTGGGCTTCTGACAACACTGTGTCTAACTTTTATTGCAGGGTTTTCTGCCTGCCCCTCTGCGCCCAGCTGATGGGAGAGCTGCTGGGCCAATGCCCATTCCGTGCTGTCTGACCAGCCTTGACGTGATCCTGCGACTTGGCGCACCTTTACAATGGCCCTAACCTTGTTTGGTAAGTAAAACCCGTCTTTACACGTAGGGCTCCGACTGGCTCATCCTGCTCCCAGGAGAAAGCAGAGTGGGTGGGGGTATGTCTGTGGCTATACAATAATCCTGGGCTGTCTGACGTTCCTTATACAGGGATGATGGCTAGCAAGATAAGGCTGGTCTCTCCCATTGTTTCCCAAGGCAGAGCCTATGGGCGTGTGCTCCTTCTGTTAATTTCAGGCTTGTAAAGTAATAGCTAGCTACAGTTATTGGGCACTGCAGTATTAGGCTACAGATATTCTCAGGCATGAGCCCTCTAGTTACACATCACCTTATTATTACTATAAAGTTGATGGTTTTGCAAAAGAAAAATACCCTCCCCCCAGTTAGTTCTTTATAGCCCAAAAGCTTTTACTACTGCGCTGTGCGCAAGACTAGCTACTGAGATAGCTCAATGCCATGGACATTGCACTGAAAGTATATTTGAATGGTAATATAAATAAAAGTTATGCTGCTTTAAAAAGTGCTCTACTGGCAAGAGGAATTGTACAGCAAAATGATGAATTAGCTAATGAGACAACCCCTGTTCTTCTGGGAATAGCTCTGTATAGTGCTTAATTGCCCATAACAATTAGATGTGTTTCTATAATTATATTTAATAATACAAATTCAAGAAAGAACACAGTATCTAGAGGTTATGAATGTTGGCTTTGAGTCTTTTTATAACATTAGACAATGTGTTGGAAAACAAAATGTAAAGACTACAATTTTAACTGTTGAACATGTGGTTTCTCTTAAATAAGATTATTAAGCTTTATTGTGCATGTTACTTATTTTGCAATTAAAAAGGTATTGGGCGGCACAAAGTCCATTTACCTAATTATGCTAAAACCAGCAATACAAAGGAAGCAAAAATTAATATGATTAATATTAACATAATATTAATTGGAACCAATTTCATTGCTCTCATAAACAACTCATGGATGCCTCTTAATTCAGAAGTGCTTTCCAGTAAGTAATTTTACATAATTACCATTTATGTGAAGTGTGTTTCTAATGTTTTTTTTACTCCTTGTGTAAATAATTTGTTTCGATTTATGACTCTGAGGTTAGTGCAAAGTCTTATAAGTATCAGACTTGATTCTTCACTCTTTCTGATTATAATTATTGTAGTATATTGTACCCCCTGAAGACCAAATGTAGCATGTGTACTGAACAGTTTTCTCCAGCTGAAGTCTAGCTGGTATTGTATTTAGCTACAGTGTTGTCATTTGAATTTATATTTCCTGTTTCAATCTTTTAGGATGCCCAAGATTGTAAACCAAAACAGTTGAAAATGGAACAAACAGTAGGTCCTGATATTGCCGCTGAGGCCTTGTGGTGGACCCCTGTGCCTATGCAGAGTCCCACTGACTTCAGGGGGCCTCAGTGTGGGTGCAGGGGTCTTACTTGGTGCCAGTTGCAGGTTTCGGGCTGAAGTCCACTCCTTTGCCAATGCAGGATATAGAGACCAAATAGCAATTTGATGTTTATATGCTAATATTATTGTATATATTAAATTATATCAGTGTAATTTACCTAACAGAGAAAGAGATGGCAGTTGTACTAGACAAACAGTACTGGACAAGTGTCACAGTTATTCATAAACATTAATAAAATCAAACAACTTTTACACTGTGTAGAAAATAGAGCTACATTATGAACCTTTTACTTACATAGGTGAGAAGTTATACAGGTAGTTCCATCACAGTCATAATCTGACTGTATAATTAATTACAAATAACCAAAACAAATACTGAAGTTAACAATAACAAAAAAGCACTTCTTAGTCATCTACAAGTTGGTTTTTCCCTTCTCTTCTTGTTTTATTTCATGTATGTATTTTATGTACTAGATGTGATGCTGCTGCTCTTTTTTTAAATAACAATGTAAATTACAAAATAAATAGACTTGATAGTACATAGAAAAGGTCAAGTTCCTCTATCATGAGTTTTTTGGATGGACCAGTGCCATTTAGACTAACAAGAGTGAAGAAATGTAACGTGAGGACTTCTACTCTGTCCTCAGTGCATTCTGTTGTGTCTAGTTTTTAATAATATCTTGCACCAGTTGAAGACTCCTGCAGATCCTTAGCTGGTGTAACTTGTCATATCTTCATTGACTTCACCCCTTTAAAAAGCACAAAATGGGGAATAAAAAAATCACAATAAAATTACGAATCAGCCCAATAGATGGTAATAAATACAAATGATTCCTTTGAGGAATGGAAAACAAATAAAGTTCTTCTTCATTGCTGGCAATTGTTAATGCAGGGGTGTGAGTGAAAATGTAGATAAATGCACAAAATATGTGCAGTGTGGCCAGGGCCGGCTCCAGCATTTCTGCCGCCTCAAGCAAAAAAAACCAAAACAAAACAAAAAACACCTGCAATCGGCGGCGGCAGTTCAGCAGCAGGTCCTTCGCTCCCAGAGGGAGTGAGGGACCTGCTGCCCCTGAATTGCCGCAGGTGCCGCCCCTCTCCCTTGGCTGCCCCAAGCACCTGCTTGTTAAGCTGGTGCCTGGAGCCAGCCCTGAGTGTGGCTGCAATATAGTTGTTGTGAGACACAGAACTTTGAATTTGTTCATGTAAATCTCAAACAACTTTTATTTATGCACTTTTTTTTGCATTCACCTTTCATGTTGTTTCTTTCTGACTATTTAAAGAACCCTGTTGATTGTACTGTGAATGAAATACATTATCTCTCTCTCACATACATTATATTAGAGTACAAAAAAAGTTGGGCTTGTTTTAAATGATGCAAAAAGGAGAAGAAGACTAAGGGTTTGTTGACAGGGGAAAGTTTTACCAATTGTACTGGTATAATTAAACCAATACAGTTATACTGGTATAATTCCCTGTGTTGATGATCTTATTCCGGAATAAAAAGTGGCTTTTATTGGTTTAGCTTAAACGACTTCAAAAGCAACATAAACTAAACTGAAAAGGGCCTCTTAAACTGGAATAAAAGTGTCCATACACACAGTTATACCAGTTGAAATTCACACCTTAGCTTATTCCAATATAATTTTCCCTTGTAGAGAGATGTTTAATTGTGGATTTACACATTCAAATATGCAGTAATCTCATTAGTGCATTAGAAGAAATGCACTAATCAGTATATCACACATGCAGTCTGGGGCTATGTATGCCAGTGTGTAGTTCATTGTGTGCTACACAGCATGCAAAAATTAGAAATAAACAGCTATATCGGTTTAGGGGGAAATCCACCAAGTCTGCTAGATCCTTTCCAATGCCATCTGGAAGGTGTGTATGTTTAGGAAGATTTAGTTATAATGTTCCCTCTCTCCATTTTTAAGATTGTATTATCTAATGATTGCTTAGATGGGGTACAGGGAACTGGGACAGCAGACTATGGTGGCAAGGGCATCTAATGTTGTCAAGGCTAATTCCCTACTCTGGCACTTCGAATGCAGAAGATGGGGGCCCACAAGGATTCTAAAAATTAATACTGGCCACTCCAGGCTTGTATTAAACTCCCAAGTTTACAGCTTTTCTCTGACCTGATATTGGTAGATGCTGCCACCACCCAATTGCAGAACCCCTTTGAGAGCCCAGGAAGACGCATTTGGGAATTCCTTCCTGTGGGTACCCTCAAGCTCTCTCTCTCTCTCTCTCTCCCTCTCTCACACACACACACACGAGCTGAGAAAGTGGGGGGGGGAGAGGAAATCAGCTGTTGCTACCAGCTAATTAAACATGTGCACAAACCTCTGAAGACACAAATCCAATTCTGTTCTTTAAAAAAGTAAATTTTATTAATAAAAAAAAGAGAAAGAAACTACACCTGGGGACTCAGGCTATTGCTAGATTTTAAAAGAGGAACTACAAGGATTAAGCACGCAGAATAGCTTTCTTGAGGTCAAGCTTAAAGGTTACAAACAAAACAAAAGCACCTGGGGTTAGCAGAGAGGAATCCACAAGCCATAAAGAAATAAAAGGGATAAACCTAATCCCTTCTTCCTAGACATTTCCTGATCTTCTTTCATATCTGGGGTTTTACATGAGTAGTTTCTAGGTATGATACTGATGATTTTTTCATACCTGGCCCATCTTCTTACAGCATAGCTCTGCCTTGTCCACCTTTCCCCGGGAGAACAACAACAGACAGACAAACAAAAGGAGAGCTGTTTTTTAATTTTAAAAAGTTCTAACCTTCCCACTGGCTCTTTCGGCCAAGTGCCCGCTCACTTCCTTTTACCTATGCATAGCAGTGAGACTTTTGAACACTTTACAGGTAGAACAATTAGAGAACAGCTACTAAGAGGGATTTTATAGCTACTGGCTGGCTGGGTATCCATAAAAGGGAGCTACCCTTCCCCCTTCATTTATCTCAAGTGTGTTGAAGGTTAAGAAAGATATGTAGCTTCTAGGGATAGGAATAGATAGGAGTGGTGACCAAGCTTTGTCCCCATTTTCACTTGCCAAGTGGGGAGTCCCCTGACATGTACCTTCCTCCCTCCATGTCTTTGTCACCACATTGTAATGTAATGTAATTACTATAATGTGCTTGATGGGAGCTGTACCTGAAGACCACTTGGAAAGTTCAGCTGGAGCAGAACATGGCTGCCTGCGTGTTAAGCAGTGTTAACTTTCTGCTCCATGATCTGCTTGGCTTCCTCTTTGTTTCCCATTGCAGTTTATTGTGTTGCTTTTGGCCTTTAAAACGTTAATTATTTGGATGTTGGTTACCCTAGAAAATACCTCTCTCCTTATGCCCATACAATGGCAGTCATGATCATCTGAGGTGTTCAAGTCACAGTTGCCTACTTTGAATGCTGCAAGGGCCTGTCCATTTCCCCAGGCCTTCCTGGGGAAGGTGGGAGATTTGATAGACTGTGGAGTGGAAGGGATACAGGATGGCTTTTCCAGATGGGGAGGGGCTGCCAGCAGAGAGGCTGCGCTCAGGTCAAAGAGAACATGTAGGTTGTTGACTACTGGAAGAGAGCTCTCAGTTACTATGCTAATGCCACAGTGAAAGAGGATTGAAAGTCTGTAACAATGTTTGTTGGGTGAAAAATAGAGATCTGCCTGAATTATTTGTTGAAAATAATAGATCTGATTAATTCATTACTTTCATGTGTTAATTACCTCCCAACAGTTGGTGAGTTTTAGGAATTTGTTAGCTGTTTGTTCTACTGTTCAACAAAAAGTTAGCGTAAACTTCCATGAACTGATCAGTATACATATTTGCTATTCATGATCTGCTATTTACTGCATGTTACTAGTCACCCAGTGCCCCTGGTATGGTTTCAGTTCTCTGATTGGATGACTTAAGTGTCATTTAAAGGAAGCAATGATTGTACTTTGAAAATAATACGCTTTTATATTCTGTCTATTTCAATGATTGCAAATTTCCCTTGATTTTTTTATGAATTTGTGTACTTTTCATAATGGCTCATCAGCTCTCTTGTGCGAATAAAAGAAAATGATTCTAATTGGCCATGAGAGCTCTTCTAGCATGAAGATATTTGCAAATATGATTCATACTTGTACTCGTGTTCTTGCTGTTTTTGACTGGATCTGCTTACCCCGCACTAGCCCAAACAGGGTTAAGCCCATATTATTGACAGCAGAAGTCCCGCCTCCCCGGCGGGACTGGGCATGCTCCAGATGCTCTAGCAGTGTAAAGGGAGGAAGCACAGTTCATTCTGGGCTGGAGGCCACAAGGGAAGGACCTGTCTGGGAAGCTCCTGCAGAGGGCCAGGCACAGCCTCTGACGGCGCCGGGAATCAGAGCTTCCCTGGGCCCGCTTGAACTCCGGTGACTGGAGGAGCCACAGGAGACAACCGGCCCAGCTGACCATGGAGAATTCAAAGTCTCATGGGAGACCCCAACGCGGACTCTGGTAGGAAGTGACCCAGGGAGGGTGACGGAGTGGTACCTCCCACCAGGGAAACCTCAGCTTGTTTCGGTAGGACCCTCCTGCTGAGTCAGTGGCAAGTTGCTACGC